ATTGGTTTCCCTTTTCTTTGTTGAAGAGGGTCTGTGCAATCCTTCTGCCTAGTCCGCCATCTTGCCCCGCCTTGTGTAGTCTTCTTAATGTTTCTTGTGTTTAGGGTTTATTGAGTGTCTTGGATGTATGGGTTTACAGTTTTAATAAAATTTGAAAAATTTGCAGCAATGATTTCTTTTTTCCTCTCCTCAGGAAGTATTTTGTATATTTTGCTGCATGTACTTGTCCCATAGTTCACTGATTCTCTACTCATTTTTATTTCAGTCTTGTTTCTGTGTCTTATTTTGGATAATTTCTTTTGCTGTGTCTTCAACTTTATTAATCCCTGCTTTTGCAATGTTTAATCTGTCCTTAATCCCATCCAGTATATGTTTCATCTCAGGCAGTTTAGCTTGTATCTCTAGATATTCAATTTGAGTTCTTTTTGTATCTTACATATCTATACTCATCACATTTAGTCTTTCTTCTAGCTTCTTGAATATATGAAATAGTTACATTAATTGTTTTAATGTCTATGACTACTATTTCTATCATTTGTGTCATTTCTGAGTCATTTAAAAATAATTTTCCTCCTCATTTTGAATTGTATATTTCTGTTTCTTTGCATGACTATGCCACCAGAGTTCTTTATTAGATGTCAGGCACTGTAAATTTTTCCTTGTTGGGTGCTTTATATTCTCATATTCCTTTAGTGATTCTTGAGATTTTCTCTGGAGCACTCTTAAGTTGTTAAGAAATGGTCTGATCTATTTGAGTCTTACTTTTAAGTTTTTAGGCTGCATTACATATATGTTTAGAATCTCCAATACTGAAGGAACTTTCTTATTAACCAATACTCCCTGACTTATGAGCTTTTCTACTTCACTTTTTTGGGAACTGGTACTATTCCTAGCCTTGTGTAAACTCTTGAGTATTCTTCCCTCCAATTCTTTTGCATGGTTCTTTCTCTAGTCTTGGAGTTTTTCCTTCATTTGCACTAGCTGATCAGTATTCAACTGAATACTGGAAAGAGAATTTCTGCAGGTCTTTGGAGTTCTCTCTCTTTGCAGGTCTCTCCTCTTCAGTAATCTTTACCGAAAACAGATTGGTTTAAATCACCTTGGTTTCACTGAATTCTTAGCTTGCCCTCTCAAGTCAGGGAATCTACCAGGCTCTTTCTGGGTTTTCCAGAAATTTTCTCCAGACAGTAAGCTGGACAATAATTGGTCTCACTTTATTTGTTTCCCATTTCTCAGGGATCTCAGTTCTTCATTGTCTGATGTTCAATGTCTTGAGTGCAAATATTCATGCATTTTGTCCAGTTTTCAATTATTTTCAGGTAGAAGAGTAAATATGATCCCTATTCATCTTGATTGGAAGTGGAAGTTCTTATTATTTTATGCCTCTAAATGATAATAATTCCAGAGAAGTAATTTTTCAAAGAGCTCTGGTAGCATAGTGCCTAAGGCACTTGACTGCTAACCAGAAGGCTGGTGGTTCAAACCCACCAGCCACTCCTCGGAAGGAAGGTTGGGCAATCCTACTTCTGTAGTGATACCGCCTCGGAAACCCAAGGAGGGGGTTGCTTTGAGTCAGGGCCAACTCGACGGCACATAACAACAACAACTTGATCTTAATTTTGTGAAGAAGGAGGAAGAGTGCTAATAGGAATGTTTTTTCTTTTCCACCTCTCTATGGTCTTCCCAAAACAAAAATTTTCCTGAGTTTACTGAAATTATGTGGTTGTATGGAGTCCTTACTTTTGAAAGACATGCTTGATTTCACTATGTTTTATTTTTTCACTAAATAATGGTCCATAAATAATAACCCAATAGTAGAGATTGAAAACTTTGTAATGGTAGAGAATTTCTTTTGGTTCATGGATTTGCACATTTTGTCCTTGGCTCCTCTCAAAGTGCAAGATTATGAGAGAGACTAGATGTGATAAGACTTAGGGGGAGAAAAAGGTTCTGGTTACTAGCAGAAATATGGCCAGAGGGAGCCATAAGTGTAATAAACAAGGATTTCTCAACTGCAGAAAAGAATTCCAGCCTTTCCCACCCAGATGGGCAACCCTCTGAGTGAGTCGGTTTTGTGGGTCAATAAGCCCCAGAGTAATGCCTAGAAATGACAAAGAAAATAAATACCTTGGTGGGTCAGAAATATTTTTCCTGCTTTGTAGTTCAAACCTACTTTTCTTTCTCACTCATTTTCATTACTTTGATGTGTATCTACATATCCCTGTTTTCTCTCTTATGTCAATAACACACTTTCATTAACATTTTTGGTACAGTGTAATTTTAGAAATATAGTTTGCATTTATCCAGAACTGTAAGTTGGAAGTTTGTACACTCTTTAAAAAGGTTTAGAAGTGGTTTATTTAATGGAACATACATACACATGATTTCATGTACATAATTTATACACATTTCTGTGTGTGTTGGTTCCATAGGTTTTTGGTAACAATCACTTGTACAGTCAACAAATGGTCATTGAGTATGCACTATGCTCAAGGCATCTTGGAGTTTATAAGCTGAATGAAATATGGTCCTTGGTACTTGAATCTTGGTGTGTTACCTTGTCTAGAAGCACTCACTTTTTAACAAAAGGATAACAATCCTAGCTGCTTATCAGAATCATCTGGGGAGCTTGTTAAAAATACACCTGTCCAGGCTCTAGTTCTCAGCTTAGGGAGATTCTGATAATAGGCAGGGCCCAAGGTGTGTGTGTACGTGCTTCTAACCAAAAGCTCTCGAAGTGAATCTGATGTACAATCAGAGTTAAGAAATGCTACGTTTAGCTAGAAAAAAAAGACTAATTGCAAGAGTTCAGTCATAAGATGCATAGATGGACTTGAAATTTACAACATGAGCAGCTGGCTAAAGTGGCAAAAGGCTGTTTCTCTCTATGTCTATGTTTAAAAACTGGTACTTGTTAGTCTGCACCAAACTGAGCCTTGGTAGTGCAGCAGTTAAAGCACTAGGCTGCTAACTGAAAGGTTGGCGGTTAAAACCCACCAGCCGCACTAAGGAGGAAACATGTGGCAGTTTGCTTCCATAGAGATTTACAGCCTGGAAACACTGTGAGGCAGTTCTACTGCCCTGTATGGTCTCTATGAGAGGGAATGAGTTCAGTGTTTTGGTTTAGATTGAGTCAGGCCTTTGAACTGATTCATTCTGGTTCCATCCCCTGCTGAAAATTTGCATTTCCATCCCCAATATACTGAATCAGTATCTACATTTTAACAAATATATATATTATATATATTATATAATAAGAATCACCTGATATCTGAGGTAGAAATGGAAATTTTCAGTGGGGGGTCAAACTGGAACGAACCAGTTAGAAGCCCTGGTCTGAATACACCCCAGAGGACAGGGTTGGATCCAATCTTCTGGGCATAATTTTCTCTGCAAAGCACCTATCAAGAGACTATTAAGCACTAAGAGAGCTGGAACTAAGAGAGCATTCTGTTCTCATGCTATTGCTGGACTCTGGAAAAATGGCAACATGTGTGCCTTTTCTCCTCCACAAGATTAAATGTATTGCAGAGCACAGGCAACCAACTTTCTTTCTCCCACTAAGGAACACAGTAACTACACACATAATAGCTGTTTAACTGGTGTTTTGAACTAAATTAAATCCTTCTTATCCAGTCCCAAGTGTCTTATCATTATCTCCCTGTCTAGATACACAAACATACGTAAATGTGTGTTTTAAAATAAAATATTTCAGTGGCACAAGAATATATAACATATGTAAGCAAGAAAGAACAATAAAACAAACACCTTGGGCCCACCACTGAGCTGATGAAATAGGAGGTTGCTAATATCTTTGAGGTCCCCTGTTGAATTAGATTCTTTTCAATCTGAAATTTAAGTCAGAATGTATACATTCACTCATTCATTCATTCATCATTTCATTCATTCGTCAAACATGCCCACTGAGTGCCAGATACGATTTAGACAGAGTAGTTATTTCTGCCATTGGAGTGAGGGATATCAGAAGTGACATAAGCGCAGATCTCCAAAGGCCTTTGCTGGAAGTGATTCTAACCCACGCTGGCCCTCAACAGCGGGCGTGGTCGCTGCGAGCGGACACTTTGGGCTGAAACTACCCGTCCCGGCAGTCCGCGGGGCGAGTGGGAGGAGCCGGGCCGGGGGCGGGGGCCCAGCAAGAGGGGGCATTGTGTAGGGGAGTGTGAAGCTGCATTTGTCTGCTCGAGGTGCTCGCCGAGCGAGTGTTGTGGTCGCGGGCCCGGGGCTGCAAGTGTCAGCTGCGGCCGCGACCCCAGCGAGAGACCCAGTAGGAAGGACCACGCGCCCGCTCGTGGCGATCGCTGGCAGGGGGCAGTGTGCAAGTGGAGCAACATGCAGATAGGCGCCCGGCGCCCTGAGGACCCCTCCCGAGGCAGAGAGGCCGGGACTGTGCTGGCGCAGCGGGGAGCATGAGGGAGGCCGGGGGGCGGCTTGGCTCGGAGCGCTGCTAGGGAGCGGCGCGCGCTGCACACTCGCAGGGGCGCGGCGGAGGGCGGGGAGCCGGGCAGGTCGCGCCAGCGGGCAGAAGCCTACAGCCAGGAGCTGTTCTGATTTCCGACGCGGACGCGAGGGGCCCAGAGCAGCCCCTGGCCCCGGCGCGTCGTCGACATGGGCAACGCGGGGAGCATGGATTCGCAGCAGACGGATTTCAGGGCACATAACGTGCCTTTGAAACTGCCGATGCCGGAGCCAGGTGAACTGGAGGAGCGATTTGCCATCGTACTGGTGAGTGCGCGGCGGCGGAGGGGCGCAGAGACCTGGAGCCCCCAGCTGGGCGGCGCAGCTGACCCCCGCCCCCTCTTTCTCCAAGTGTTTGAAGCGAGCCTCCCGTCCGAAGGAGGAGGCTCCCACCTCCCCCATTGTGGCCTCTCCCGCCTCTCTTCTTCCTCCCCTTTTTGGGCCCCCCGGATTCAGCCCTCTTGGGGCCCCAGGATGGAGCCAGAGGCTCAGGGACGACTGCCCATCCAGCTCCGAACCCATTGTCTGGCTGGAAAGGCACCTCGCAGCGCGTGTGCCCGGGAGGTGCGGCGTGGGTGTGAGGGGAAGGTGGCGTGGGCCCGGGAGGAGGGGGCGTTGAGCTGCAAAGGCTTTTTGTTTAAAGAAAAATAATCCCCTTAAACCCCGAGCCGCCGCGAAACATCTCGCGGGCGCCCAGCCCCGGCCTGCGGGGTCCCCCGGCAGATGGGCTCATGTGGCCGGCCGCAGGCGCCGCGCCGTGCGCGAAAGCGAAGTTGGAGGACCGTAGCCGCGGCTTTGCTACGGGAAACTCCCCCGAAAGGGAAAGAGAAGGCAACCCACGGCAGCGCAGCGCCGGGGTCCTTAAGCAGGGAGGGGGCATCTGAAACCCAGCTTGGTCTCAACGCGTTCTCTTTGGTCTTAAATCTTAAATCACAAAAAGGTGCAGTTTTGCGGGGACGTGTTGCGAGTTGTCCTTACTCCAGAGGTGACCCTCCACCCTAAGCCCCCCCAAAGAAGTCCCCCGCTCCCTTCTGCGTTGCGCTTCTCTCACTTTCCAACTCCTCAGATTCAAGACTACCTTCTCTCTCGGTTTTCTGAGCTCCTCCCAGCCAGGGCCTGTCAGTGCTGTGAGCTCTAGAGGGAATAGTACTCTGCGTTTGCCCCAGCCAGGATCTGTACTGTAGTTGGTCCCAGACTTCAATTTTTAGTGTCCCAGCTTGTTTTAAGGGATGTTAGGAGGAAAATAGGCAAGATTGGATGCTTTCCTGTTCCTCATACTTGTACATTTTCCCTAGCTGTCTTTTTCCCTCACTGGTTACCCCTAAACTCTCCAGAAGACTAAGCAACAAGAGAAATTTATGCTCAAGGCAGCCAACATTTTGTGCTGCCTGTGGTTTTTTTTTTTTTTTTTTTTTTTACGTGTAAACGCCACAACTTTGGGAAAGGACCCAAGCCCCTGAACAAGATAAAGGATCAGTTTTCTGAGGTCAGAACACGGACTTGGACATTTAAATTGTCTTTCTTCAGGTCTTTGAAAGGGACTAGTTTGGTTTAGGAAATAATATTTTGGCTAGCAAGTTAGCTTTATGTTCTTTGGGAGAATAGGCTACAAGCTTTTTCACATCACCAGGAAACTCGGGTCTGGTGTAGCATTTGGGGAGATAGATGAGGTTGCCTGTCTTGGCTTTGCATCTTCTGTGATGGCCCACAGCTGCTTCCACCGTTGTGCAAGAAGGACGCTCTGAAATTTAACAGCATAGGCTTAATTACTTCTCAAGGCAGTCTGGGTGCATTTTTGACTAGTCTTTCTAGAGACAAACGTTTTTGTTCAAAAATTTGTTCCTACCAGACATGTGGTTCTTACCTTCTGGGGTGTGTGTGTGTGTGTGTGTGTGTGTGAATGAATGAATGTGAATGTGAATCACTGTGGTGGAAGGGCCAGTGACCCAGGGAAACCAGTGCAGCAGCCATAATAATAACAATAATGCAATTAAGTTCTGCTCAACTGGGAAAGTCACTCTTTGCATGAGCTTTCAGTTACTGTTGATTAATAACACATGGTATGAATTAATCTGTAGAAAACTAAATGTCATGTTATTAACATGGTGGGTTTGCATTACTGTTAAGTCTAGCAGTCACAAATTTAGTATGTAGGCATTATGATTATACATCACAAGTTCCTTAGAGTGATTTTTTTTTTTTTTTTTTGCTGTGGCTACTTTTACTCTACTGTGTGTCACACATAATTATTGGATGTGTTTACAGTATTCAAACCTCAGAGAACTCACCCTCCTTTGCTCCCCCACCCCTCCAAAAAAACAAACCGAAGAAATAAAAAACAAAAACAAAACAGGCAGAACTTTTGTGAATAGAGAGAAAGCTTTTGGGAAAGTCTTGGCTTCAGGCTCTTCTTGCTAGGGACCCTTGGGGTGGTGTTTTGATTAGTTCTCCCTAGTCAGCTCCATTTGCACATTTGTAAAAAAAAAAAAAAGAGGGATTGAAGGGAAACCCTTCTGAATTATCTCTGTAGACTGACAGAACTAGGAAGTTATGGCATTATTTCTCTTGCACTTTTTTTTTTTTCTTTTTCCACTGCTATCTTATGTGTGATGATTTTAACTCTGTTTTTTTTTTTTCCATGAAATGTGTAGGAACCATTTAATTCTGGAGATCAAGCTTAAAGGACAAATTTTTGGTGCCAGCTTTTTAAGTATATATGTGGAGGAATACTCTACCTTTGTTGTTGTTATGTGCCATCGAGTTTGACCTGAGTCATAGCGACCCCTCCTTGGGTTTCCGAGGCAGTATCACTACAGAAGTAGATTGCCCCATCTTCCTTCCAAGGAGTGGCTGGTGGGTTTGAACCGCCAGCCTTCTGGTTAGCAGTCAAGTGCCTTAGGCACTATGCCAGCAGAGCTCCCTACTCTACCCTTAGGTAGTGGAAGTCGTGTTGGCATCATTGGTACTACTTGTATATTCCTAGAAGGTTGACGGTTCAAACCCACCAGCCACTCCTCAGAAGAAAGGTTGGGCAATCTACTTCGATAGTGATACTGCCTCGGAAACCCAAAGAGGGGTCACTATGAGTCAGATCTGACTCGATGGTAATGAGTTTGGTTTTCTTAATATATTTCAGGAGGCAAACTAGATAGTAAGATTGTACTGTAATGTATACCAGTATCTCACTGAAAGTATGGCTTCCATCAATAATTAATGAGCCATTTCAGGAATGGAAAACAATTCATCGCAACTCCCAAGCTCTAGAACATTTAAAGCCTTAAAACCAAAAAACCAAACCCACTGCCATTGAGTCAATTCCGACTCATAGGGACCCTCATTGGGTTTCTAAGACAGTAAATCTTTACAGAAGTAGATTGCCCCATCTTCCTACTGTTGAGTGGCTGGTAGGTTTGAACCACCATCCATCTGATTAGTAGTCAAATGCCTTAGGCACTGCACCACCAGAGTTCCTATTATTTAAAGCCTTAGGATAGAGTAAGTAAATATTAAGATTGACAGAAGTCCATCTTATTTCTGGCTAGGAAAGCCTTAAGAGACAACCAGCCTACTGAAGGACTGTGCCCTACATCAGTGTACAAGGGTTAACTTGTAAAAAAAAAAAAAAAAAAGATTATTATCAATGGAAAGGGGGGAAAGGATAGAAAAGAAAGTTGTTGTTAATGTGCCATTAAGTTGGACCCAACTCAGAGCGACCCCTCCTTGGGTTTCCGAGGCAGTATCACTACAGAAGTAGATTGCCCAACCTTCCTTCTGAGGAGTGGCTGGTGCGTTTGAACTGCCAGTCTTCTGGTTAGCAGTCAAGTGCCTTAGGCACTATGCTGCCAGAGCTCCCAGAAAAGAAAGTAAGACTGCTGAATTAATATAAAACCAAACTCACTGCCCTCGAGTCGGTCCCAACTCATAGCGACCCCTCCTTGGGTTTCTGAGGTAGTATCTTTATAGAAGTAGATCGCTCAGTCTTCCTTCCAGGGAGTGGCTGGTGGGTTTGAACTGCCAGCCTTCTGGTTAGCTGTCACATGCCTTGGCACTATGCCACCAGAGCTCCCAAATTAAGATTAGTGGGGGGCTAAACTTTTTAAAGTTTTATATATGTATGTGTGTGTGTGTGTATATATGTATATATATATGTATATATAAATAGGAAAAAAGTGAGATTTTAAAGTAGAGATTTGAACAGCTACTTTCCTGTGAGTAATGAATAATGAAAGATTTGAATCCAAACCTTAGGAACTTAATGTTCCTAAGGAGGGACAGCCACCCACCTCTCATTTGTCTTTAGCATTATTTTAATAATAGTTTTAAACATACCTTTAAAAGATTACTGACTCCATGTATACAAGGTATCCTTGTACCTACCTTTCAGGTATTGCTGTAATATGCTTTCTCTGTGTGTGTGTGTGTGTATACACATAGATGTGCATTTTTGTACTGTCTTCAGTGGAATTGTTTTATGAATTATAAATTCAGTCATCTAATTCAGTATTTTTTTCTTTAAGGTGTATCTTTTTTTATATTTTACAGGTAATACTAACATTAGCCTATATTGTCTCATATAGCTCTCCATTGTATTTATTAAACGTTCAAACCCACCAGCCACTCCTTGGGAGGAAGGTTGGGCAATCTATTTCCATTGTGATACTGCATCGGAAACCCAAGGAGGGGTTGCTATGAGTCGGATCCTACTCGATGGCAGTGTGTTGCGTTGTAGTTGTTAGGGAAGGGTGTGTGTGTGTGTGTGTGTGTGTGTGTGTATATATATATATATATATATATAAGAAGCTCTTGTAGTGCAATGGTTAAGCACTTTGCTACTAACAGAAAAGTTGGTGATTCAAACATGCCAGCCCCTCCATAGAGAAAAGACCTAGCAATTTGTTCTTATAAAGATTTCAGCCTAGGAAGCCCTATGAGGCAGTTTTACTCTGTCCTATAGAGCTGCTATGAGTTGAAATTGACTCACTGGAACACAATAACATATATATATATATATATATATATATATACACACACACACACACACACACATATGTCATATATGTATGTATGTATGTGCCATACATATGTGTGTGTGCACATACATGTATATGTATGTTTATTTTCTAAGTTGATGCTATGAAGGTGATTCTTGGTGGATGTGGTGAACAACTGATTGCTTTAATCAGGACCACCTGTTGATTCCCTCCTCTACATTGTTGTTGTTGTTACGTGCTGTCAAGTCGGACTTGACTCATAGTGACCCCTCCTTG